AATGGGAAAAGGCAGAAAATATTTGTGTCATATGCATCATTACAACTTGGTGATTTGTTCAGAAAGCTCATACGTAGAGCTTCCTCAATAAATCATGTAGTTGTAATGATTTTATTTCCATGTAACCTTACTTCATTCCTTAAGTCATGTTTTCTATGTTATTGTTGAGGTAGAAGTCTTTTAGGGAGCAGAGATACGCAAAGACAGCATGTGTTCATATGGACTAGGATTGTATCTAATTATAACAACAACAATGTTTTATTTTTGCAGTGTTATTGTGTCTTATTAATGTCACTTTCTAGCTGGTCATTTATAAGGAATTTTAAAAGTACTGTTGGGAAGGCAGAGTACCAGTTTCACAGTTTTTGCAGTGTTGAGTCTCATATGAGCCTGTTGCTGATCTTTTGTTAGTCCTAACAGACCTTCAGCTGCTTCACTAGTGAAGTGACTGACTGGTCGCGGAACATACCTGCCTTCTTTGTGGGCTGTCGTGTACATCTGTATGAAACATGAACTTTGCCACTGGATTTTGAGGATTTGTTATTTTCAGTGAGAACTGTAATACATGTTTAGAGCTTTGCATTTTTTTTTTACAGTGCAGCTTGGTCTTGTATTTTAAGTGAACAATCTTTTATTGATGTACAGCAGCACAAAGTTCTTTAACCCAGCCTTTCTTGAAGTCTTATGTGCGCAGTTTTATGTGAGGAAAAAGCATGCAAGCTGACATACAGGACTATGATAGACTTTCTTCTTTGCCTTAATCATGCTCTCCTAATCTCTTCCTTGATTAAAAATTGTGCTTGAGATAGAGGCTGCTAAAAAAGAGCTGTGGAACTGTTCCGCTTATGAGAAATGCTGCCCTTCCAGAAAGGGAGACTTCTTGAATGGGGAGGCTGCTTTATGGTCAATTACAGCAGCGTGTGTTCTCTTCCGTGCAGCCCTGGGCTGTTACTGAGGATTTGGTGTGAAGTATTACAGCTGAACTCACTTCCTGTTCAGCCGTAGGCACGTATTGTGTCACAGATTTTCTGTCTGCCCTGTGAATCTAACGGGTGAGTTCTGGGGTTGCAAAGCCTTTCGAGGAAGGTTAGGAATGTGTGGGGACTGGAGGTCCGTGAAGGAGTTGGTGAGCACAGGGGACTGGGAGACAAGACTGCTTTGTCTGATGGTCTGTTGTCTGTTGCTGATGGTCTGTCAGATAGCTCCGTTGTCTTCACTACCTCCTCATCCCTTTCTCACCCTGCACTCTGCAAGAGGTTAGATTAGCTTTTTTGCTCTTCAATGCATTTACTTCAAGTTGTATTATAGAATCTTTAAGCCTGAGACTGTGGGAGTGAAAAAAGTAGAAAGTAAGAGGACAAAACAACCGCAAAGAGGAAGAACAACAGCAAAAAGAAATCCATTTGGGTTCCAAGGAATTGCTCATATCCTCTTTTATTTGCTTTATAAAAACTGGTAGATAACAGTGTAAAAGCACTAAGGCTGTATGAGAACTGAGTCTCATGCTTGCTGTAGAAATGACGGTTATTTCACTGATCTGAGGGTGGCAGTGGGGGTCATTCTTGAAGTTACCTGTTTTATTTCAGTTCTGTAATAAAAAGATCTTTTCTGGAAAGACAGACATGATTTCATTAACCATGAATTTTGTTCATCCTGACATCCTCTGGGAACCTATTGCCTAAGTCAGAGCTCTTGATTCTAGTTACCTCTGCAGCACAGGCACAAGTGTTACTGGAACTGTCACAAAGTGTGCGTAGCTTTGTTTCTCTGCCACTTAAAAACACAATATGATGCCATTTTCCTTTCTTCCAGTGTTTCTGGCTCTTTTATTGCACCAATGCTCGTGTTCCTTTTGTGCCTTGGTGAGCTGGTTTGGCTCATTAAACCAGCAGATTATTGTGTTTTTCTGTATTCAGATTGCTTTCTTTTCCTGGGATTGCTTTTCTTCCCTCTAATGAGCTGTATTGGCTCATTGGAGCTCAGATAAGCACTAGAACTGACTCAAGGGGAGGATTGAGGGGAAAGTGAATGGGACCACCCTCTTCAGCAGCAATGATCTGTTAGATTGGCTTAGTTGCATATGAATATTTCTACTCCTGTATTTACCTCTATGATTGTGTCAGTCGGGGAACTTGCAGAGTGGGAAAGCTGGTAGCAAGAGAATTGCTGAGGGACAAATTCCTAGCTCTTCCATGCTGTCTTTGGTGAACTGAGGCTATAGGGATGATAATAGTGAGGACGTGAAAGTGTGGGGCAAGATGCAGTCTCTATCTGATATGTTTAAAAGAAAAATCAAAACCTCTACCATGTTAAATATGCAGTTCATTATTCTATTTTCTTTGTTTAATATGTGACCATTACTTTGTAATAAGTCATGGGATTTTTGTTGTGAGTAAACGGGGTTTTAATGATGTTTCTCACTGTATTGCTAATTCCAAAGATGCATTTTTTCAGCTTCCCTGTTCGTGAGAGGTAGGATACTGACTTTCGAGACAGGAAACTGAGACATACAGGAGAAACAAGGGTACTCTGAGATTCTCTTGCTCAGTGCTTAGGTATGTAGGACCTGGTGTTTTGAAGAACTTAACAAGGACTTAAGTTCATGTTTTATACCTTCATAGTAAGTTCATACTCAAACCTGAATGCAGAGTCTCTAAACAAGGAGAATATATGATACCTATTCAGTTTAAGTGACTTCCCTTTCATTGGATTGAAGTCCTTCTGACAGAAGAGTAGAGTACGGTTTCCCAGGGCAGCCTTCTGTTACAAGCTGTAAGACCATCCTCTCCATGCTGTCTGTGGGTCTTTCACAGCATGCGCTTCAACTTCTGGGAAACTAAGTAGGATCCTGTAGACCAGCAAATGTTAAATGAGCTGTCATCAAACCCCTCTTGAGAAAATTGGTCATGAGTTGAACCTCCCAAGGTACAGCTCCAGATGGACCTTCAGGGTTTTTTAAACGTATCTCAAAACACAGGTGTTTACATATGGCTTATTACCAGATAGAATTTGTAGTTTTAATAGAAAACAAGTCTGGGTGAATGTTCTGAATATGTAGAAATACGATCACTGAAAGAATATGTCTGTACAAGGTTAGACTAGGAGTGTATGTCTCCTGCATTCTGATCTCGGACATCTGCCAGTGGGGCAAGATCTTCTCCGTTTTTCTGTCTGAGCCTAGAAGGCAGCTGCTCTCTCTGCTCCAGTTTGCAGATGAATGCTCCCCTGTTTGCTGCCAGACATGGTGGTCTTGTCTATGGATGCAGAGTTGCATGAGGTGGTATGACTTCAGTGCTCATCTGACCGTTGCCAGTTTAGGAAGTTGAACTGGTTCATCTGGAAAACTAGGCTACGTAACAAAAAAATTCCTTTTTTTTCTGATTCTGCAAACTGAAACAGTCCACGCAGGGACTGCAATCCTGTTTTGGGGAGTGAGACCATGGTGGTTATGAGATCACAGTACCAGTCTGAAGCATCGCTGTAAAATCTGGCATTGCAGTGGGGTGGTAGCTTAGGCTTTTCTCCTGCTGTGTGTTCCCTGCCTCTACCCTAGATCTACAGATGTGTGCAGCTACAGGGTAAATTAGTTTTTGAGCTGTTTGGTAAGTGAGAGGAAGCAGGAGCTGATCAATGGAAAACTGAGCTGCATGATGACTAGATCTACATCAGGGAAGAGAAGAAGAATATGAATGATGCTTTCCACAGCAGCCCGGAGATGCATCAGGCTAAGCACAACATGAGACAGTGCCTTATGCCTCATTGCTCATCCTTGCCCCAGCCATTGTGAAGGTGAAAAGTATTTTTCTACCTCACCTGGTGCACCTGTGAATAAGTAGTATATTACCTTTTGAATTCTCTTTCTTTACATGGCCCTTCAATTTCATAGTGTCTTCTTCATCTTCTGTTAGCCTCCATGGTACAGCTTGAGGAGCATTGGTGCTACACCCATCAGCCTCATACAGTTTTCAGCTCCCTCTTCCTTCCTTAGCCAATCATCTGAAGCTGTACCCTGCTCTACTTCTACTTTTTTGCTTTCTTCCTGGTCTTTGTGTGAGAAAGATGGGACTCTGAGCTCCTGGAACTGTTTCCTGGAGCAAGTGGATCATTGCACAGGTAGTTGCTAAGTTGTGTTTTCTGGAGGACAGTTGGGAACAACTCCAAACAGCTCAAAAAGGGCCCTACTTTTGGGAGAAGTCCTCAAAAGACTGTGGGACAAGTTCCAGCATGACATGTTTTTCACCAGAGTTGAGGACAGAGGGCTGACTGGCTGGGAACAGGCTCTCCAAGAGCTAGAGTGCTGGGAGAAGGTGCAGAAGCAACTGGGTGTACTGTGGCTTCCCAGAGGAGGGTAAATTTTTGAAAACCTCTGCTTTCCTGAGGGGGCTGTGCCTGTTAGCACAGGCCTGGAATGTAAACTCATATGTGTGTCTGAATGTTTGACCAGAGATGTGTCTGCCCAGTGTTGCCCCCTGCGGTTCCCCACAGCTTCTGGTTCCAAGAACATACAACAGGGGAACTGGTGCCTGCCCAGTTCTGGAAGAGCTTTCCAGGTTGGGCGGCCCTGTGTTGCCATGTGAGTGCACCCAGCTGAAGAAGCGCACATCACCGGCTGGGAGCTGCTGTGATGGACTGACTTCTCTGTAGTGCAGTAAGATTTACAACACGCCCATGTTAAATATTTACTTAATGTGAGGCTGCAGAAAGTGAAAAGAGCATGCGGATGTAGTCACTGGCAAACATAAGGTCTGAAGAAGTATGGAAAGCGAAGACTGCGTTAGCTTTAAAGAGTGTGCTGTGTTTCAGCTATAATTAAGATCCATGAATACAAAATTGTTAATGCATACACCACAATTATTTGTTTGGAATTGAAGTGCATTTTGCTGTTTTTAACATTAGATATTTTTAAGTTAAGACTTCAGATCAGTTTCTAGGAGTCTCTGACTTTTTCAGTCCAAGATTGTATTAGAATAACGCATTTGTTTTGGATTTTGCAGATTGCCTTCATGACCTTGACTCTGTTTCCTATCCGACTCTTTTTTGCTGCTTTTATGATGTTGCTGGCCTGGCCTTTTGCATTCGTTGCTTCGATGGGATCTGACGAGCAAGAGCTTGAAAAGCCCCTCTCCTGGTGGCGAAAGTGAGTCACTGATGTGGTGAAATACTGAAGGAATCATTATTTAGTTCAGCAGTTTGAGGTAGAGAAGGTTGGAAATACCTGTTATCTGTGCCATGCACTTGCTTTTCTCATCAGAAGAAAAATGTAAAGATTGTTATTTAAATACTTTTCTCAGATGGGAAACTAAAAATACCTCAACTGTTTGATTTACCGGGTGACCTAAGAATTACAGGGAGAAAAAGTGATTGTCTCTGGCCTCTTACTTGTATTGAGGATGTAGTGTGAAGCTTCACTGTAACATTCTTCCATTTCAATTATTCCTGTAATGTCAACCTCTTGTTATGAAGATTGGCATTATGGAACGTGCCTAGATGTCATATTCTAAATCAGTGTTTTAAACTACTTCACCCCATTGTTTCCTGCCCTGTGATGAATTGACAAAACTGCTGTTGATTCGCTGAGGGCTTGTCCCGTGCGTTGGTGCTTATTAAGAAGTCTGTGCTTGCTTGGATATTGGAATGCTAATTAAGGTAGAATGTAAGACAGTGTTCACCCATCTGTGAAAACTGCCATTTGAGGAGCGAGGAAAGAGGAGTGCATCACGTCTTCGGTAGAGAACTTCAAAATTAGAAGCTGGCACTAGCATGAGGGAAGCCGATTGTATTTTGCATCGCAGGAGGGAAGGAGGTTGAGAACCAGAGGCACTTCACTTTACATGGCATTTGGAATGATATCAGTATAATGACTAAAGGAATAATGGGCTGCCTTCAATCTTGCATACAATTATTTTTGAAGCTTTTGAGGTTGTCCCTCCCCCATTTCATCCACTTGTCAGTGTCACCCTGCTCTACAGCCTTGAATCCCTGTGAGTGTAACAATTTGTGGTGTTTGTTTTTTGCACTCTGTTGGTTCAAAGTAAATGTTTCTTTTCATGACTGTCAGGCTGTTTAAAAAACAAGCAAACAAAACCTCACAAAAAAAAAAAAGTCCCAAAACACTTTAGGAGAAGATGGGGAAAAGGAAAGTAAGTAAAATGTTTCCAAAGCTCCAAGGTGTGTTCTGTAGACATCACCATGTTTGAGAATCTCTGTCCTATGCTACTCCACTTCTTTGTTTGGGTAAACCTGAACACAAGAATCAGGGTTGTTGCATTCTAGCAGTATCCTAATAGCAGTTTTCAGGACTGAGTTTACTAGAGCCTTTTTGGTGTTACTAGAAAGTGTTATTAGACATTCTGTAGAAGAAACTCAACAGTCGTAGTCTGAATCAGAACTGATTTAGTGATAAAATAAATGCCAATTTTGTTTGGATTAAAAAGCATTAATATTCAGGCATGAAATGAAATTAAATGACATCTTACTTTGAGAGTGGTCTTAACTACCACTAGAGAAAACAAAAGATGTATGCAGTGTTTCTGCTCTGTTTAAGCAGCGTATCCTATCTGTGCTTTTGTCTTGCTCATAAAGTTTTTATGTAACACTTTGCATTATTTTAAGGTATTCCTGTGGCAGCATAACTGTTTTCTCAACTCTTTACAGGATAGTGGATGTTTTGCTGAAAGCCATCATGAGAATGATGTGGCTTGCTGGTGGATTCCACTGGATAAATGTGAAAGGCAGACGGGCATTGCCAGCGGAAGCAGCAATATTAACTGTAGCTCCCCATTCTTCCTACTTTGATGCCATTCCAGTAACTATGACCTTCGCCTCCATTGTGATGAAAGCAGAAAGCAAAGATATTCCTGTTTGGGGAAGTAAGTTGGTAGATACTTATTTTTTCAAGAACAATTAAAAATGATTACTTAGAAGGTTCACTGATTGTGTATGGGAAGGCCTGAAACACAAAGAAAGTATTGCTGTGGTGAGATTTTTTTTGTTACTCATCTACTTTGAATGTCAGTAAAAAGAATTGGAGGGGATGTTTGGTTTTTTTTTTTTTTTTTTTTTTCATTTCTGCAAAGTTGAATCAACAAAGTCCAAACAATCCTACAGAACTCATGGTGAGTTTGCAGTGAAATATCAACATTTTAAGACCTGACAAGTAGAAAAGAAAGTTAGGATGGGTCTGTAGAGAAAGTCCACTTCTTTCTTGGTGCAAGTTGGGGTGCCATCCCAGAACTGTGTTTTGGTAATGTTGTCTGATCTGAATGGAACCCTGGCTTGAGGGAGTGCTGCTCATCTTCATGCATCAAGAAGTTTGTGTCGGGCAGGGTATGAGAGATGAGCAAGAGCAGATTATTGTGCACTCAGATTTAGTCATAAGAAATGCAGATGCCCAAGTCAGTACTGTTTGAGTACTATCTTTGGATTTATCAATGTAGGTTCTCACAGGCTTGGGAGAGACATGTGATTTTTGGTGCAGTTGTGCCAAAAAAGTGTGTAAGCTTTTAGGCTTGTAGATTTCTAACCAAAGTCTGTGTAGAAGCATTTTGGAGAAACCCAGCATGTTGTGTCTATGGACCAACAAAGTTCAAAGAATCTTCCTGTCTCTCCTTGTGTAGATTTTAAAGGTAGTATATAAAGGACAAAAGATTTTGCTTTCACCTTGGGTAGGGACTCTTTAAATTAAAAATCTGAACAAAAGCTTGGAGTTCCTTTGCAACTAAATGGAATCAAGCTGTTGGCGTAGACATTCTCCTAAAATTTCATTACACAATGTGGTTTTAAGGACATGTTCAAAACCAGAAGCTGAGACATGGTGACAAACGGTAGTTACATCTGGAAGCTTCACATAGAGAATCTCTTGGTATAAAGGTCTACCTGTATCAAGCAAAGCTTAGGCTGGAACTGTAGCTATATCTTGATTTCACTGAATATCTGACTATTAGAGTTTACTAAAAGTCTGTGGCAGTGAAAAATCTGTGTGAAAATTAATAGATGCTTTGAACAAAAAAAGGTATAGGCATGTGTTTTTAAAAACAAATGCATACAAGCAAGTGTAGTGTGAAAACAAAAAGAAAACAAAAATCCCTTGTCCAATACTGAAAGAAGAGATTGTTGTGAGATGGTATGTTGACAGTCCTGTACAGTATAGGTGTATCCATGCCATCTTGGACTTTAGGGGCAGTCCAGCCATAGAGGCAGGGGCAGATTTGTCATCTTTCTCAGCTGACTCAAATGACTGTTTAATAATTGCTAGCTCGGCGAAATAAAGTAGTCCACGTGGAGCTCTCCTTTGCTTGCAGCTGGACTGTTTGGAGGACCCAAACTAGATGAGGTAACTCCAGGCCACGCTGTGTTACTGAAACATGATGAAATGACAGAATGGCGTTTGACAGAATGCTATAATAGCTGCTTAACTATCCCATGTAATAGAGTCAGTGGGAACTAGTGGGAAAGCCTGAGGAGAATCTGTGGGAATATGGAAGTTGTAGTTACACTGAATGTAGCACAAATACTGCATATTGAGTAGTTCAAACTATTTCCTCTATACCTAATTTGATTTTAGGGTGACTTTTAAAGGATTGAATTTAAAGTCTAGACTTACTGCAATAAATTTTAAAAATAGTTCACTTGATTTTGTACATGTGTGAGCAAAACCAGTTACAGAAAAACAGAAAATCCAGAAAACTACATATAGTGATTAAATGGAATATTACTGGAATGTGCATGGCACTCAAGTAAATGAGTGTTTTTGTCCTGTATAACTGCATTCACTTCATGTCATGCAGCCATAAAAATTATGTAGTCCACTATGAAGTGTTCAGAAAAATGCCACGAAAATGAGGCATGGCAAAGGTTGTAACTGGGATTCAGAGTTCAAAAAACTTCTTTTTTTGAGGAATACTTTATATGAGCAACATTAATTACAGCAGTTTGTGTTATTTAGGTAAATGAACTTCAACAGAGAGGTAAGTAATCACTGTAATCATTAGTATGGCTCAAAATTTAGTGAAAACTTTCCAGTGGAGTAAAGTTGTGACATTTTTTTTTTTCCTTTTACTGCTTGAAAGAGGTTTTCTGTGAAGCAGATGCTACTGACTATCCTCTCCTCCTTTGATCTAGTATTTTAATTCTAATGTTATTTACGCTTCTCTGAGTACACACACACAAATGTATTTCATGTTATTGGACCACTGGTATTTCTCTTGCGCCATCTGTGAAAAGGTGGTCATGTTTTTCTCGGATTGTGTGGTGAATTGTCAGCACTCCAGGCATTCATCTAGACTTTATCCTGTAGAGGTCAGAATTATTTATGTTCTTCAGTGTGGTAAATCTTGCTGACTTCTTGTACTGTCTCCAGTGAAGTTTTGGAGCCAGCCACTGATAATCCTAACCTCTTAATTGAGTCTTTTTAGTGGTCATTCAGAATCTTCTGGAAAGTTTGGAATAAAGTACATTCATTTAACTCTGTGAGCAGACTTTTCAGCGTGTAAATAATGAAGCAGCGAAGGTAATTTCCAAGGTAATTTCCAAGGATGAGGACTGTGGGTGGAGAGTAGATCTTCATCCGTTGTATCCAAATATGATATAAACAAGTTGGCTTTTTGATGTAGTGACAGTGTTTATCAGGACACTATACATTGTGTACCAGAGGGATCAGGTGCTTTAGCAGGCACAAAAAGATCTGATTGCTAACTGGTTGCCAAGATTGATTCAAAAAATATTTTAATAGGTTTCTAGAGCAACTGTCTGCATTATTGTACCCTTAGATTGCCAGTCACGGAATATTAAGCTTTTGATCCAATTTTAAGTCCAGATGACTAAAAGCCTTGTTTTTATGGGAATGGAAGTATTCCACAAGTGTGTTTGTGTACAATGAGTATTTTATTGCTTTCTAACTTGAAGGCAGCTCTTCTGGACCACAAAGTTGAATCTCAGAAGCAGACTGAAGTCTTGTGACTCCTTCAGACAATTTCCTTTTTAGGAAAATAAAAGAGTAAACAAATTAAAAAAAAAATGCACTTTTGCTCTGACAGAAGAGTTGTGACCTCTTCATTTAGTGGTCAGTAGTGGATAAAATTATCCACTTGGCACTCACACTAGGTTAACGAACTCTGCGGAGGAATTACTTGCGCAAAGATAGACCAGGCTTCAATGATCATCAGAAAAATCAGTATCTGGTAAGTCAAGAATACCAGAGCAGACAGAGCACATCACCACAATGCTGAAGAAGGACATGTATTTCTGTGCACTGGCTTGCAAGAGTTTTGGTAGGTTGCAGATACGACGAAATTCACTGGACCACTTTAAAGTGTGCAGCCCAGGGAAGATGACATCCATGAATTTATTGCACCTTACGTTGGCTGAAGCAGTTAGATCATTCATTAGCACAGGTCCTTAAACTTTCCTGTTTTGTCTACTGGGCGCCACTTCAAGTCAGGACAAGCTTTAAGTATAAATTCTGATGGTTACATTTCACTGCCTTATTTTTGGCTAGTAAAGCAACCTGGATAAAAGTTACTTTTCATTGCTGAAGTGGTCTACAGAAGTAGAAGTGCTACTACAGAAATACTTCACTAAGAAGGAAAGGGATTTGTCAGTAAATATGATTTACCAGAGATTTTGTTGGACAACTTCTGTGATTCAAACATCTTACGTGGTCTGAACTTTTAAAAACTAAATTTAAGGTGGTGAGCTAATTTAAACTTTAAGCAACTTCTCAACACCTGTTACCTCACCCCCTGAAAAAGAGAGGAAGTTGGTACCTGTGAAGTGAATGGGGGGTATGTTAGCATAAGTTTATGAAGGGCAAGGAGGTAATTTACACTTGGCAGAACAGAAGAAGTATAGAGGAAGGGAGAATCGTACTGTACTGTAAAAACTATCAATTTTATTGGGAGGGGTCCACATCTAGTAAACTAAGGAGTTTTTGTTCAAACCCATCTTTTGAAAGTGCTTTATAGGCCTTTCTTGAGCATCATGACTAGAAGACAACAAATAAGTAATTCAGTGTGAAATATTTATGCTGGGATAGCTGGGTATGCTTTCATCTCAGAACTTAAAAGATGCCAAATTACTTGTCAGCTCTGTGAAAAGTTATTCAACCTAATCCTCCTGTCCTCCACCCCAGTTACTTCACCCCTCTCCATACCTTCCGAAGCACTCAAGGAAGAGAACTGTGGTAGACCCATAGTTCTTCAGTGAGAATCTCACCTCTAAGTACTTGAGATTCATCAAGACAGTCCTTAAACCCTTTTTGGAAAAACCTGCTGTAAGGTGAAGGCATCACAGATTTCTCCTCTTTATATGCTGAATCAGCAGCTTACAACACCGTTAAGGTCACCAGCTTGAATGCCAGCATTCCATGCTATGTTGGCATTGCAGTCTGTCTTGAGTACACAAATGAGCTCCCCAGTTCTAAGGAGTGTCTTGAAGTTATTGCCAAGCTTATCCATTTCATCCTCCCCTTTAAAAGCTTCCATTTCGAAATTCAATGTTTCCTTCAGGCTGTGGGCACCCAGATGGTCCTGCAATGTTTCAGTCCTCACAGGACCTTTCTTGGAGAGAGAGTGTGCAGTCACCTGTCTATTATAGGTATGCCTGTATTGGTTGGGTTGGAATCCTGGACTTGCTGGATTATTTTTATTTCACCATAAATTCAGTAACAATTACTTCTCAATTAAACTGCTGCTGGAATGCATGAACCACCATTGCTTTTTTTTTAAGCATCCTAGTTAATATTGTTTATGGAAGTTACAAACTATGGTAAATGGGAAACCTGCAAACCAGCACAACTGCCTTTGTAAAATACTTCTTAGACTGGCAGCAGAAAGCTAAAACATGCAGCCATGCCCTCATACAGGTATTGCAG